GCTGTGGCAATACTCCATCCACATTGCCCTTCAACACCTGTTGTTAGGTTGTATTTCTAACACATTCCTAGGTTGTAGGGAGCCCCTTGGCACTTTCCTAGCTATTCAGAAATGGGTACATATTGACCATAGAGTGTAATATTTTAACAATACCTAAACCATTTGCACACTACTTGTATCTCTGGGGATAGCTGGCTCTGTAGTTTGTTTTGAGAATTCAATAAGGTTCAAAACCTCATACCAGGTTCTATATATCAGTTCATCTGTTGCCTGTTTCTTAGGCTCTCAAAGCAAGTGAAGTTATATTTCCTTTTGTTCCTGACCAACTGCCTTTTGTTCAGTTGGTTTTTAGTATAATATTTCTATTTGTTCATTGAGAATTTTATATATGCATACAATGTATTTCAATCATATTCATCACTCCCCACTTCCAACTCCTTCCAGATCCTCCCCTCCTCACATCCCTTTCCCAACTTCATGTCCTCTTTCTTATTTTAATAACCCCAATGAGTTACATCACTGCTGTCCACATATGCACTGGTAAGGGGCCATTCATAGGAGTACGGTCAACCTATCACACTTCTAGAGAAAACTGGCTCTCCATCCTCTAGCAACCATCACTGTTAATAGCTCCTCATCTGGAGGTGGAGGCTTATGAGCCCCTCCCCACTCATGCTGAAACATTGACTGTCTTGATCTTATGCAGGTCTTGTACAGGCAACCACAGCTGCTGTGAGTTCATGAATGTGATTGGTCCTGTCATGTCCAAAAGACACTGTTCCAGTCCTCTCCAGCTGTGGTTTTTTACAATCATCCCACCCCTTCCACTATGTTCCCTGAGCCTTGGAGGGAGAGGGTATGACACCGATGTCCTGTTAATGTCTGAGCATTCCACAGATACTTGTTTTCAGCACTGTGACCACTGACCAACTAACTGAGTAAAAAAAAAAAAATCACTGGCTGCCAACTACTAGCTATAAAGACTCTGGCAAGTTTGGTCCCACTATCTCATTATTTTGGGCTTCTGAAGACTTCCCATATGTTCACAGACTCTAGGTCACAGCATTATGTTTGCTGGTGTGGAATCTTGTGTTTTTAGAAAGCACTTGGAAATGCATGGGAAGAAAGTATTGATTTATTCTTTCTCTGTGGTGCTAAACATTTAAGGCATTTAGTATTTTTCTCTCAAATTAAGGATATAAATTTAGCATCTATCTTATCTTTCTATATCCACCAAATATCTTCTGACAAACCAGTGTGGACTTCTCCCACACAGTCTAATCACTACTAAAAACACAAACAGAACCTTATCTGAAGGATGATCGATAATGGTATGAAAATTGAGGGCTATATGGCTAATCCAGAGGAGGGTTAGTTGGCAGAGGACTTCAGTAAATGCTTACAGAAGCTATTTGCCCAGATTTTGTTAACAGATGATAACCACACATCACTATTTATTCAGCATCCTCCAGATGAAGGCTCAGCACCAGGAAAATGGGATAAGGTTGGTGGTCTTGGGGTATGAAATGGCTCTGTGGCCATGCACAATAGTTCCAAGATCTCAGAAGGACCTGGGGGGAGTGTAAAAGCAAAATACTGCCTCAGAAGTACTGAAGTAGAGTCCCACGTACTGCTCTGCACAGAGGCCCCTCCACTTGCAGTAGGACATGACAAGTGCTATTCCCCAGAGGAGAATGCAGCTTTGCCCTGAAATGTGGTCTAGGACCATTACGCTCACTGTCTGGATCTCCACTAATATCCTTTTAAGAGGAAAATCATTCTGCCTGATCTGTCTAGCTCAGGGCTGCTGGGGTAATCCAATGTGAGGAAGGATGAGAAGCATTTGCCCATACTACCTCAGCCTCCTCCAGAGGTAAGCACTGTGATTTCCTTATTTGGTTGATGAAGACAGGTCCTGAGAGGTTACGTATACTGTGGTGGTGGGAGTTGAGATTTGAACCCAGGCACATCAAATCAGAGAGCTTTCCAGTCAACAGACTTTCCATGCAACAGATGGTCTTCTGAGCTTTTAGAGATCAAGTTACTCAATGGACCTTTGGGGACAGCATCACTTAAGAGTTAATGAGAAATGCAGAATTTCAGGCCCCCACCCCAGCCTACCTGCAGCCACGGCTGCATTTTTAAATTTTTATTTATTATTATTATTATTGTTATTATTATTTGTGTGTGTGTGTGTGTGTGTATGAGTGTATTGCCTGCATGTATGTAAGTGCATACATGTCCTGCATTGTGCATGGAGGTCAGAAGAGGACATCAGTCTCCCCTGGAACTGGAGTTCCAGGCAGTTGTTAGTTGCCATGTGGGTGTTAGGAATCAAATCCGGGACCTCTGCAAGAGCAGCCAGTGCTCTTAACCACTGAGCCATCACTCCAGCCCCAGGTCTGCATTTTTTAAGACTTTTTTTTTTAATTGGATACATCTGCAATTCTAATGAGCTCTCCAGATGACTCCTACACACCCTAAAGTCAGAAGTGTTTCTGTAGATGGTCTGAGATGTTGCAGGAGAGTCTCATCTGAAGTTTGGGCAGCCAGGCAGGAATTCACATAATTCAACAAGATGTAAGAACCCAGGGGTATGAGTGGAGATGAACAAAGAAGTGTTCTTGGCAAGACTGCAGGGAGCAGGTAAGGGGGGGACTGGAAAAGATTTCAGTACCTTCTGTCTAACCTGCCATTACCAGGGAACTTTCCCTCATGAGAAAATCCTAGACAACCCTCCCTCAAGAGAATGGGATTTAAGATAGGAACAAATAGTTTTTGTGTGGATATATTTAATTTTGGAAGATAATATGATTAATTTTTTTAATGAAAGAAATACTAGTAAGAAATTGTTTAGCAAGACTGGCATGCCCCAGAAGTTTGCCTCTTAGAGGTTCCTCTTCCTGCTGCCCTTTGAGGGTGGTGTCACATCATATACTTCAGGAGTGAGTCCTTTTTCTTCCTGTGTGCCACATCCTCCAGGGAAGGTGGCCAGTTAAGTGAGGGTAAGTTCAGCTTCCAGGGCCTCTTTTCCAGGAGTGTTGTCCTCAGATTAAATCCTGTTTCAGCCCATTCTGGAAACTATGACAAAATATCATAAGCTGTACTGTAACAACAGAAATTCGTTTTTCTCAGTTCTAGAGACTGAAAAGTAAAAGACTGAGGCACTGTCAAAATTAATGTCTGGCAAGGGTCTGCTTTCTTGTTCATGGATGATGGCATCATAATGTGTCCCCACACATTGGAAGGCACTCACTAGTCTCGCTCACTTTTGTAAGAGCACTTGTCCTATTCATGAGGGCTCCACCCCCATGACCTACTCACTTCCCAAAAGCCTCACCTTCCAATATCACCCCCTGGGGGACTAGGATTTCAGCAGACAAATTTGGTAAAGATATACAGCAAATCCTCACCTCTGGAAGGATAGTCCCCAAGTACCCTGAAGTGACTGTGCAGAACACAATGGGCGGGAAATGCCTAGATGAAGGCCTAGGTACTCTTACACACCAGTACATCTGCTCACCACCCTGAGTGCTGTCCAGGGGGGACAGGTCAGCCCAACAGTGGAGATTTCTAACCTGGGGAGTGAGATATCCAGTAGAATTTGATTCTAGAGGAGGCTGCCCAGCCAGGTCCTCCATCTCTTTCTGGTCTTTCCCCCATGACACTGTTAAGACTGTAATGCTTCAAGGAAGCTGAGATTTCTTTCAAGTCTTTTTAACCCAGGTCCTCATGTCTCAACTTTGTGATTGTAGGAACTATATTATTTAACCCTTATGAGCCACTTCTCTGAGTAGCCATATCTATTTGGGAAGTGCACTAATTCCCTGAGTCAAGATAACCATTTATCACCTCTGTGCAGATCGTGCCCTATGTCCTTACTCCAAAAAGAGTCAGTTGGGAATATTACACAGATTTGGCCACTGCCTAAGAAGTTTCAGGCTGGGGGACAAGTAATGACATGAAGTATAACGTCCTAGATGCTTATGTGAATCAGGTATGGACATTCTCTTCTAGTAAACCAGAGACTCTTCATGAACTAGCAACAGACATATCTAGGACCCTAAAACTTGTCATTGTAACTTTGGGCTTCTTCCTCCACTTTTACCTCACCCCACACATGTCTTCTTATATTGGCTGTACTTTAAAGTAGTCAAAATAGAATTGGCTAAACCAATTTTTTTCATGAATTAAAAAAAATATTTTTATTTATTTTCATTTTATGTGTATGAGTGTATTGCCTGCATGCATGTGAGTGCACCCATGTTGTGCAATGCCGTGGAGGTCAGAAGAGAGCTTCAGATTCCCCTGGAACTGGAGTTAAGGACAGTTCATAGCCGCCATGTGGGTGCTGGGAATCAAACCCAGGTCCTCTGCAAGAGCAGTCAGTCCTCCCAACCGCTGAGCCATCTCTCCAGCCCCTCATGATTTTTTAAAAAGTTTGGATTGACAGGATTTGGGTCAGGATATGATCATTCTCTCAAGTTGACTTTCATCCTGTTTACAATTCTTGGAGTCATGTGGATAGAAGTCTTGATGGGAAGGAGGCGACAAAACACTTCTAAGTTTTCACTCCAGAGGGTAACTTCCGCTCATCTGAAAACACTTCTAGAGGGTGAACATGAAAAAGGAACCCTCTTGCCAGCCCTCCCTGTGATGAGGAGGTTCTTTACTTCCTTCACCATGCCTGATTTGAGAGATAAGAAATTTTCAGTGTTCTAGGGGACCAGGGTAAAACAGAAAGACAACTTGAGTGGGTTCCAAACCAGACTATGCGAAGCAGCCCTGGCTTCTCCTTTCTCCCACCCCCACTTACTAACTGATGCCTTCCATCACTCAGATGGACTGGGTTGGCTGGCTATTGACAGCCAGGCAATCTGCACAATAAAGCTTAATGGTTTACATCCCCTGTACACTTTGTCAATGTTTTCAATGGATCACTTTTCCCGCCAGGTCCTCATACTGCCACTGATTCCTTTTCTTTCTCTCTTCTCTTCAAGCATGCAAACGCAAAGAGCAAGAACCAAACAAAGACAGGAACAACTCCCAGAAGAAATCCCGCCTGGTGTTCACCGACCTCCAACGCCGAACGCTTTTCGCCATCTTCAAGGAGAACAAGCGCCCATCGAAGGAAATGCAGATCACCATTTCTCAGCAGCTGGGGCTGGAGCTGACCACAGTCAGTAACTTCTTCATGAATGCCCGGCGCCGCAGCCTGGAGAAGTGGCAAGATGACCTGAGCACTGGGGGCTCTTCATCCACCTCCAGCACTTGTACCAAAGCATGATGCAAGGACTCTCACCTGGGCACAAGTCACCTCCAAAAGAGGACAACAGATACCAAAAGAAACACAGAGGAGAAAAGACATCGGATTCTTAGCTGGGGCCCTTCACTGGTGACTTGAAAGCACAATTCTCTTGAAACTTCTATTCTAGCTGTAATCATAGGCCAGGTGTTCTTTTTATTTTGTTTTGTTTTTAATGGCTACAGAGTTCAAGTGCAAGCTGAAAACTAATTTTTTTGAACCAGACACTATCCTCTGAGCATGCTAAGCATCCCAGAGATCCAAATGGGGCCTTCCTGAAGCAAGTTAATTACAGCATGGTGTCAACCAATGCTGCAAGCATCAACAGTCCCTCTCTGGGTCCTGACAACCTCTTGCGTTCTTTTCCCACAAATAATTGGGAATTTGGCCCAAGTAAGGACAATAAGTTTAGACTTCCAAGACACTACAACAAGAGAAGAATCTAACAGTAAGAAAGACCTCATTTGCTTTCCAAGTGTTTAGCCTCACTGTATCATCATGCACCAAAATTCTCAGCCATAACATTAAAAAAATCAGAATGGTAATTACTGAGCACAAGTTTTAAATATGGAAGTTTAAAATAAAAAAATCCAAGGACCTGTTTTTCCAACTCAGGCATCTTTTCACTGAATGGTTTAGAAAGCTTTAAATTAATCACAGTTTACAATTTTTCTTTTCTTTACCTCCTGGAAATCTCGTGTGGTCTTTTGGATCCGTCAAAAAAAAAAAAAAAAAAAAATCAGTTCACTTGAGCTCAAAGTATCAAGCACAACAAAGATAAACAGAAGGAAGGAAGGTTCTGGTTTCACTGCATCCGGTTTTTCAAGACGGTTTAGATCCGTCTTCATTGTTGTGAAGTCATTAGGGATCGTTGGGAATATGGCTTCAAGCACATTTTGCAGTTTGCTACAAATTTTGTTTGTACATAACGCAGCTGCACACTCAGGAGGCCAGTTTAACTGTTACGGTACAGGAGCAATCACATTTTAAAAGATCTAGATTTTTTTAGATCATAATGTATCCTTGATTTGCTAGTCACCCAGCTCCACCTATGCATATTGTGACTACCATTCATTCTTCTTTCTGATTTGTGTCGTTCCATCCCATTAGTGGGGGTGTTTCCAGTATTTTCTAGAAAGAAGTAAGTTAATAAACCACCATACTGTCATCTAGTCCTAACTCTCTTCCATTGTTGACTCATCCATGCAAAACAGCTGACTAAATCTGGAGAAAACACAGCACACCAAAGAAGCAGAATACTGCATACCAAAGACATGTATTACCTGCCATTTTCTAGCCTAAACATACTGTGATTACTTTTAGAAATCAGAACACCTCTGTAACTCCTAATGGCATTCGGCTCTTGCATTTGGCTCACCATCTGGCTGAGTGGACCAGCAATGCCAAGGACGTTATCCAAGCCACCCAGGCAGTGGCTTCACCACGCCAGCTCTGGTTGTCACCTTCCCATAGCAAATGGAAGAGGGCCTGCAGAACTCTGGGAGATTGCAAAGGTCATGATGTGCATATTTACCAGTGAATGGCCCCAGGTGGGCACCGTGGGGGTGTTCAAAGCAAGCCAAACGCTGCAATGATTCCTTACAGACACTTGAGACTGACTTTTGTATGAATTACTTAATCGAAACCAAAGAAACTTTTTCTGCACCTACTTCTGCAACAAACAGAACTGTCCCATTAAATGAATAAATGAATCCATAAATCAGTGGAAATCACTACCAACAAGAAGAAAGCACGCCAGAATTAAAAAAAAAAAAAAAAAAGATGAAGACACACTGTGTTCAAACAGACTTCTTGGGACATTTTTTTGGAAGCAGATTTGAAAGAAAGGGTTGAGACAAGAATGAAAATACAGAAAAGCCTCCGTGGCTGCTGCTTCGTTTGACAACTCACATGGTAATCTGAAAGTTGAAGATTGTCTTTAATTTGTGCCTATGCAGTTTTTCAAAAGAACACGGAACAGAGCAACAGAAACCTCAACAGCTACAATACCAAAGATGAGGATTCTCGCAACTTTTGTTTCAGTTCATTATCTCCTTTTGCCTGGCTAAAATACTTATAGCGTCATTGATCTGTACAAAGGTAATCGATTTTGTTTCTTTGAGCAACAAAAGGAAAGGGTTATTTGTTTGATTCTATTGTTTCCCTTTAATTTTGTTTTATGGCTTTTTACCCCAACATGGAATCCCCTAAAGGTTCCATGAGTCCAAGTTTAAGATGTTGGGATACTGAATTATTCTCTCTCTCTTCAGTAGAGCTTGGGAATTGCTACTGTCACTTGAATGTTCTTTGCTTAGCCCTTAGACTTGGTTCCTTCTATGTTCAGAGTCTCATCATCGGGGAGGGAAGGGGAATGGGGGTCAGGGATAGGAGTCTGGGTGACACAGCCTCTCTGGAGTCACAGAACCAAAGAATTTATAGAGGAATTTATAGCCTCATCTTCATGTGATTGCCACATCTTAACAGGGCTTCATTTGGGGGTGGGGAAACATGTAAAAAGAATTACCAGTTTCTACTTTTCTATTAGCTTTTTAAAAAAAATCAGCTGTAAAGTTGCATTTCTAAAGAAAGATATATATACTATATGGGTACATATACAGATCAACTTGCATTGGTGATAACCCAAAAGTTTTGCTGTCCAAATTTGTGTCTTCTTTTTGTCACATGTTCCATTTGCTGAGTACGCAGCTCACAACTGTGCTTATTTCTCATGCCATCCAGAGTTAATTTACCACTGTGGATGATTGGTAGCATTCATATGTCTATGTCAATTTCTAGAAACGTTTGAAAGTCAAGTTCAAGCATTTCAACATTTAACTTGTTGATGAATGAATTTCTGGTATAAGTGAGTTTTATTTGTATTTAGTCGTCTCTATTCCATGCTTCAAACATGATCAAGGTGATAAGAAAGATTCATTTACCGCACTGGCCCAGAGGTAGGCCACTGGCAGCTGGGGACTCATCTTCTGTCACTGCTGGGAATATTCAATAGTCCATTCCCATCAGCTATAGAATATGATGCCCACCCAGAAATCCATTTTCCAGGAGATACCCTGTTCACAGGGTGTTCTAGATTCCTCTCGGTGAGCAGATCCACCAGGGACTTCTCGCGGGGAAGTCCAGTTCCTGTTGCAATGGGTTGATCAGGTTTCCTCAGGGTGGTAATTACCAATTTGCATTGACAAGCCTGTGTACAACCATAGCCGGCACTGGGGTGGGACAGTGTTGTTGTAAGGGGGAGGTATCTCAGTCCTGGAAAAAAGACATACAGCAGATTTGGGGGAGTGTCTCAGATTCTTTTTCCTTGGAAAGCCACAGCATTCTCTGTGTCACTTCCTGACTCTCCCCATGTGGGTGTGGTTTCTGGGGCACCCCCCATGTGGGTGTGGTTTGTAGGGGCATCACTGAGAGAGTGTGGCTCTCTGTGATTTTTGTAATCTGCCCTGCCTGGGGGATGGCTTCTTCACTTGCCCCTTGTTTCCCTTTGTTCCTCACTTATACTCCACAGATCTTTTGTCAAAGGACCAAGAAAAAAAAATGTTTCATCAGGGATTGTTCCCATTATGGGTTGGTCATATGAATTTTAACATGGGCATTTCTAAATGAGTCCTTGTGACTTGTGACCATTGGAAATAGTGGCTCTTCTTGAGATCAGATTAAGGAACCAAGCCTCTTGATTTGGTTGGTATTCGTTGACACACTAATAACAGCATTTGGGTTTTTGCATTATCTAGGATGTGTAGGCCAACAAGGCTGCCTTTGGGAACTGACATTTCAACACTGGTCAGATTCAGGTCTCGGTGACCAGAGAAGATGCCATGTGTGAAAGATAAAGGCAACAGTCTTCCTCCAAAGACTCTTGATGTCTCTTACCAAATCATACCAGAAAGAATACTTGATTAAGAAGTTACATACATCTATAAATGTATATGTGCACCTGCACATATGTGTCAAAACTTTAAGCCCTACACAGTATCAATTTATTAGAAATCAAAAAGAAAAAAATTTCTATCCTGAAAGGTTAGAATTCAGTGTTTTTCCTCAAAGCCTTTACATTTTTGTTTTAAATTAATAGTTTCAGAGAAAACAGCCATTTGGAACTGGTTATAGTCTAGAGTTTACCCCCTCAGTTCAAGAGAAGTTCCAGGCATCCCTCAGCCATCAGTAACTAAGCATCAATGTGAAGAACAGTTCACAACCCAGTTTCACATTCTTGGGGTGACAGAAATTCAAATGCTCACAGCTGTTGAGTAGAAGATGTTTTTCTTTAAGCCTTCACATAATTAGGCTTTATTTTTGTTTTCAATGTGATTATAGTTCTGGGGATAAAATTCCTTCATTTCCAGATTTTTTTTAAACAGAGTTAATATATTTCTTTTAAAAAATGAAAGCAACAGCAGTAATAAAACTCAATGCCATTATTTAAAAGCTTTTTCCAAATGTAATAAGAGTGTTTAGCTTGTGCACATAGCAATACAGTCTGAGCTAGGAAGCCCAACATGGCACTTTCTCTGCAAAAATCAGTTTCATATATAGCCTCTCATTTCCCAAAGGCTTTTGGTAATTTTGGACTTGGAAATCCAAGCTTATTATCATTTTAAGCTAAAATAAAATGAAAACTAGGAAGTTAACTAATCCTGTTAAATACACACATACACATACACACACACACACACACGCACGTGCGCGCATGCACAAACACACTTTTCTAAGTAAAGCAGTGAACTTCAAAGCTAACTATAAATAATCAATTTTAAATAATCAACTCTCAGTGCCAGTAAATTAATGTTGAGCATATTTTAAAAGAAATAATCACTATTACATAGGTACAAGGAGAAACTTTCCATTTTCAAAAATGTCAGTGGACTCATTTTTTTTTTTTCTGAACACTATGAAGTAGCATGAAAATACACCTTTGGAGGAAACTTCGGTCTTCAGGGGGTTGTCTATTTTGAATTTTTCAAAATCTAAGAACAGACTGAGTTCCGAGGTTGTTAAAGAATAAATGAAGCCTATTAAGATCTGTAGAAAAGTAGACACCGGCTGTGGTTAAGGCTGACTACAGGCCCCAAACACTACTTTAGCAGTAGCCCTTCTAGATTCCTAATAGATCAGAGCTGACTTTTTACTGTCCTTATTGTTGATACTTGATTCAGACTTGTTAGCCTAACCAAGAAGAGGGAGTTGAATGGTTGGAAAAGAAGGGCAAGAGCTGACATAGTGATGTCTTTTGATATTTATTTTCAAAACTGTATAGCTTAACCATTTTTTACCATTAACCAACAGAAGATTCTGGTTTTAAAATAAGGCCACAAAAATCCTCACTGGAGAAGAATGATGTTCCAGGTGGCTGGGTTTAAATATGGATGCTACAATAACTATTTTCTATAAATTATTTGTTTCTTTGCAAAGTAGAGGGTTGTTTATTTGTTTTAGAAAGTCCCAAGTACTTACTAAACACAAAAGTAATTATTAAAATAACATAGGACTTCACATAGATAGATGCAAGATATCATTGAGGCTGATGGGTTATATGGTGTGAGTCCCTAGGACCTTCAGTGCCTATCTACCTCAGATACCCAAGTGACTCCAATAGTCTGTGGGCCGTAAAAGCTATAGCCCAAACTTTCCCTTGTAGGCTTTGAGTTAGGTTGATGGACACTAACTGGTTAATATGTTTTCAGTGGAGAAAACGTGTATAAAGGGAAAAAATACCATGTCACTACACATTTGGTCATTCCATGGGAGTCTTCCATTTGACTCTGTTATTAGCAACAGGCATTTCACATGGCATAAACCTTGGTACATAAGTTTGCCTAACACTTTATATAGTCTGTGGGCTTGGATGTACACAGATCTAGATACATATTTCAACATCTTTTTTCATAGTTCTCTTAATATCCACACACATTGCCTAGATGTATCTAGACCATGTACATATAAGTGTGTACAGACATGCTTAATACATATATACTGTACTCTGTTACAATAAATAAATTTCAAATCATCTTGTAACAGATATGTGATAATTTTACCATGTATCTTGTCTTTGTGATTTATTCTAATGCTGAAAACCAAAGTGCAGGAATGTAAGAAAAAGTATCCCAGCATCTTCATTTATTATGTATACTTAGAATTACTTTCATTTTGGGTACATCCAAGACAAACAACTGATAATGGAACCTTGGATATTATTTAATCATCTGTGTTAGATGCTTGATGACTTTGGTTGAATAGCTTTATTCTGGATTTCTCATAACTAAAGCTAAATCCAAAGACCCCAAAATAAAAAAGAACAGAGAGAGATAGAGAGAGAGAGAGAGAGAGAGAGAGAGAGAGAAAGAGAGAGAGAAGGAAAAAAATTGCAAAGTCAATTGCAAACCAATGGGAGAAAATGGGCTCTGGTTTCCAGGGTTGAAACAATGGTAGTGTGGCCTTATGGAGGCTGCATTAGCTAATGGGGAGTGGTGATTTCTTTCTCATGCTTGTCACATACAAATGGTCTTTAATGTGAGAAAGCTTTAGAGGTTATACTTTCCTGTTTTATTTTCACTTAGAATATAGGAAGAAATGACATGTTTGTACATTGAAAAATGAAGGCAGTCTCTCCCACCCCCAGAAATTTTTTAACTTGTCTCTTTTAATTGTGACCCAACAAGATAAGTACCATTAATGTTCTTAATTTATTGAAATTAGTTTCTTGTATTATAGTCTATAGGATTTGAATAATTATTTAATCCTCTTTCCTTAGTTTGATTTTACTCTTTGTTCTTATTTATCAAAAATCTAGAGCAGTGGTGCATCTGAGATGCAAAACCTAGCTATAATACTCCTGAAGTTTAGTTTGCTTTATAAAGCAGTGAAATTCTGTTACAGACAGGGAAGAAATACAGGTTACAAACAAAAATATAAAACAATTTGGGGTATTTTCCTTCTTGGATTATCTTTTAAAATAGTTTAATGATTATTAAGTTATTTAATTTAAGTTCACAGCCCCACCTGGTACCAGGCAAACTTCACCTTCTTAATTATTGGGGCCCTCAGAGCCTTTCTATTGTAACTTATTTATTTAACTTATTCAGCATCTGTGACAGATGCGCTGTATAGTTTATATTTTTTATTTAAAACAACAGAGAGCACTGCAGTTTGTTTGCTGTCAGAACAACAGAGCAGATTTTGTGGACAAGCAGTGACTGCTCAGCCCGAACCTGCGCATTCAGAACACGAGCTGAGACCTACTTCACCAGCCTGGATTTCGGGGCTTCTATATGGAAACTGGAAAAATAAATAAAAAAATCATAAACCAAAAAGAGAGAACCCTTATACTAGCTGCTTCCAAGAAAGAACTCTGTGTGTGTAAAGCAACAAAAGGAAAAAAAAAGCAGAAAAAAAGGAAAAAAAAAAAAGGAAAAACTTTCTATTTCTAGTGAGAACCAAAGAAGGCTACCTCACTGACTTTTTCCATTTGTAATTTTAATCGTGTTGATGACACCAAAGATACCAAAGATTTCTTTCTCTGTGCGGTCTGCATTTTGCTTGTGCTCTTTTAATTTGAACTCTTCTCTCTGACATATGGTATGTACAGCCACAGCTCAGAAACCCCAAAGAAATAATGTTCTATGTGATGGTGGCTGCTAATCTGGAAAAGGATATTTTCTGTGTTTCTTGTGTTTATTTGCTGCCCCCTCCCACGTGTTCAGGATGCAAGTTGGGATGCTGCTGTAATTGGATTCCTTAAAGTTCCAGTTCCAATTTGGTGAAGAAGACTGGTTGGAGATGGCCTTCAGCCCTACTATGACCTCTGTACCCCTGGAGCTATCACAGGGAAATATGTCCAGCTATTGCAACCATAGAAATAAGCATTTGATAGGAGAGTTGGAAGGGACCTTAGTATTCCTTTAGTCCAGTTCCCTGTGGCCAGGAGGCTTGAAGTAGTCATCCAAGTCCAGCAACTTCGCAGCCCAAGTCCATCCACGCCCCCTGCTCCACCCCCTATGCCCTGTTCTCCATTGGTCACATGCTGTCAAATAGGAAAGTGGTAATCCTTGAGCAACAAGCAGAGACTGAATTTATGGATTAATATTTTTATCCTTTAAGAATAATCCCAGACAGCTTCAGTATCTTATATCATTATGTATCCAAAGTCACATATGATATATTGCTTGGTAAAATGGCCAACCTTGAAATACTAGGGCTCACTCAGAGATTTCTGTCCTGGGAAGCATACTGACCCAAACAGTATGATCACTTTTGAACCCACCCATTACAAAGTATTATAAAAATAAAGTTCTGATCGATAGGAGGAAAAAACTCCTGGCCTATTGAGTTTAGTTAGTATGAATATTTTAAAGTCAGTATTTACCAAGAAAGGGAACTTGACCGTTATTTTCCATCAGGACAGTCCAGCTGTCAGCTCTTCTCTTTTCACCTAAGGGTGTTCACATTTCACTTCTAGGTCAACTCTGTTTACAAGAGAAATTTAATCCTCACATTGTTTGATGCTAAATTATATTCATTGTAAATGAAAGATGACCCCAAAATGTCACAGGACTGGATATGCCAGTTTAAATAATGGTTACTTACCATTGCTTCTCTCTTTTTTTTCCTTTTTCAAAAAATTAATTGGTCTCCTTTTAGTCTTTAGATTCTATTAAACGACTAAATCACTATTATGATCTTTCATCCAAGTGATTTGAATGTTAGCCAATGAAACTTCTTCAGCTTTTGGTCAAGCAGGGTTTAGACACAAACAGATTCCCATCTCTAGTTTATAGCTCTTTATTGAATACTACACGTTTACATTTCATGCAATAGTTATCATTGAGTTTTTAAAGAGACTGTTAGACAAAGCTAAGAAAGGAAGACCAGGTGGCTCACCAGTTCATCAAGAGAGTGTAGATTCTATGGCTAGTAGAATAATTTACAAAACAGACATGTTGATGTAGGAAAAATTCATTCTCTTTCTTTTTTCTTTCTTTGAGACAAGGTCTCATATAGTCCAAGCTGGTCTTGAACTCCTTATTCTCCTGCCTCCGCTTCCCTAGTACTGAAATTATAACTGTGAGCCACTATACCCAGACCAGTTATCCTTCCCCAAGTTCCATCCTGACAAATGTGAAAGTTACTTAGCTAGATGAGTCCAAAGAATCACATTCTCCCTTTACAAGGCAAACATATAAGGCCTTCCTTCCAAACAGGTGATCACCAAATTTCCATTGGAAATAAAATTCTCCAAATACCTGGGAGACAACAAATTCACTAAGCAGCAGAGTGCTCCCCTGTGAGCAACATCACCTTCCCCAGCCTTCCTACAACTGAGCCCCCAGGAGAGAGTACCTAGAAAGAGCAATGGCAGCCTGAACACAGAAAACATCCTAATTGGCAGACCCCTCCTCAGCAATCCCCCCTCAGCCTCATGCTTCACTTGCAAAGTGTGACATAACCACGGGACGAGTGCCTTGCTTGAACCAAAGCAACGATTTAGCCAGTCTGGACCTCTCTGTGCTTTTTTTAATCCTTCCTGTGAATACCTCAGCTTCAACTGGGCCTCCATACAGTAAATTGGTGGGCTTATTGTACTGTGGTGCTTTGCAATGCAACCCTGCAAAGAACAAGATTTGTACTAATACCAAAGGTTTTTTCTCTATGTCTCCTCCTCCTACCTCCCTGTTTCCCCCCTTTTCTAGTTCTTCATGGTTCCAAAGCTTTAATATGAACCTGGGCATGTTGGCAATGCAGACCGCGCAATTCCTTACCGAATTTTCTCAGATATACCTCATAGATAATAGTGTTTAGAGTAATGTTATTATAGCGTATGTAATAAATTATTCACTGTTTCTTTTGGTAACTGTGATTTAAAAAAAGAAAAAAGAAAAAAAAGCTTTATACGTTTTAGGTTGTGCTTTTGTAATAGACGAAAATGTGCGCTTAAAAATGAAATGTATGTTCTTTTTATTTTTCTTCTCCCCCACCTTTGGATTTTATTTATTCTGAATTGGGGAAAGTTGCAGAATGAGCCCAAAGTTTACAGTTTCATATTTTGCTGAAGAAACAATCTGTGTTCATTTGCTTTGTTGAGAAAAAAAAAAAGAATTATTTTCTACACTTGTGCTACTTGGTCTGAACAATTAATTGTTCTGTGTTAACAGTGTAGTATTATAATTAGCAACTGCCAATCAGTGCTATAATTTTATGCATGAGGCTAAAAAATTAGCAGTGTGATGCATTGTGGTCTTAATAGCAACATTTTTTTCATTTTGTACTAGATCCTCCCCTTTGGTTCAATGAACATTATTTATGCATGGGCGCCTACTGTTTGTTAGCAGTCGTGCAGCAGTTGTGTATACATTAAACTGTGAAAATGTACACAGTTCAGCCTCAGACAGTGATAATATTGGTTTTCTTGGGAGATGTCTCACCTCAAAAATACCTTTACATCTGTTGGGATTTCAAAATGAGTCAGATTGAATCAGGTTGGGATTTTATAATGAGAAAGGGCATCCCACATTTGAGTTAGCAAGATTGAATTCCACAGTTGGAATCCTCATAACCTAGATAAGTCACTGTATCTGAGAGGGGTTTGAAAATGAGCGTTGAAGAGTAACTCACCTTTGCATTTTTCATTTCCACTAAAAGGAGTTATTTTGGCTTTATGTTCATAGCCTCAGACCTGTTCAACCTTGTACATCCAGGTCTGAGTTTCCTGAGTTTTCACATGGGAATGGCTATTTTCAATTGTGTGTGGTTTCTCCTAGGATTCATTGTCAGTTCCCAGTAGAAGCTCATATGGCATCAATATCAATAATTCATCTCTGGTCTTTTCAGCACACTCTCATGGACATCTCTACCAATGAACTAACTTTTCCAGTTATGATATGGGCAAAAAGTACATGGCCATTCCCTAAAATTGTGTTGGTGTGGCCCTATCATGGTTTTGATCTCTAGGGTCAGAAGTAACTCTAGCTTACTCCTTACCTGACCCACAATATGACACCTATCTAACGGGAAATATAAGGAGAATTTTTGAAAACCAATTTACAAACACTATGTTGGTTTAAATTCCCCAATCTTGGTGATCTATCTCAAAAAAATGTTTTTCATTTGCAATGAATTGGGCAAATGTATTCTTATATTTGCATTCTGAGATTTGCAAGTTTTGAATTTCTTTCCCACACCAGTATGCTTCCCATAAAGCCAAATCAACTATCAAATACATACAGTTCTGCAGAAAAAAATGAAGATTGGAAACAATAGTGGGAACACATCAGTATGCCATACAAAATATTGGAAATCACCAACAGACAGTAGAGTATTGCATGTGTGTCTGTCAGTGAATATATTGGAGGTATGTTTTCATTAATGATGATGCAAAGAAATGTATTTTCATTTGGCCTTATAAAGTAGGTTGTGATAATGAAAGCTTTGTAATATAGTCTTTTTAGTTTCCCTTTTATTAATTTGCCAAAGATGGGAATGGATACAAGACTTTTAAAATTGGCTTTTGTAAGACAATAGATGATTGTACTAGTATTTAATCTTCCAGAAATCTTTACATGTTCTTCTGCAATAAATCAAGTCAATATTTGTTTCCGTAAGTTCTCTTCACACTCACAAACATGCAAACTGTTCCTCTTGATGCAGATGTTGTAGTATCTACAAAGTTCAAATGCATTTTTGAAAAATGAGGGGTGTCTGAGACATGTGTATGCCCAGCCCTTTTTACTACAAGCAACACAGGGGTCTGGCTCACTAGGATATGCCAAGAAGACTTGTCTTATGAAATTTAAGGTATATTTTGTTATGCCATTTCATGTCCTTCTTTTTAAACTTTGTGGAAAGTGATATGTTGAATCAAGTGTAAGCTGAGTTTTCCAGATAACTGAAGTAGATACATTGTGAATGTTATTTTGTTATTAAAGGGTTTTTACTCAATACTTTGTGCCAATGGATGTCCTTTTCCTTGGAAACTCGAGAACTATGGAATTACTTCAGCTTGGCCTGGTTTTCTCTCACCTTCATGGGAGCATGTGGACCTGGCCTGAAAAAATAAATGGAAGGTCCCAGGCTAGAAGGTAGGTTTGGGGCACTTGAAAGAGAGTTCCATGTCTGTCAGCTTTAAAGAGAGCTGGGCCCAAACTCTCCAACCTCAATCTCTTGACACCCCAACACTTCTCTGAGATCCCTTGAGCAAATTCTAGCATGAAGGCAGACCCCAATTCATATAGGAAAGGGAAGGAAGAGAACTTGGTGATCTTGCATTTTCTGTGCACCACTAAGTACCCAGTCAGCCCAGGGCTGTGGTGGTCTGCCAGGTTGGCTCCACCTGGGCCATCACTGAAGGACTTTCTTCCATCTTGATACCTGCAAAAGGTCCAGGTATACACTCAATCCAGGGTGAAACTCTTCCAAATCAGTAACTTCTTCCCAGCCATCCTCTGCATACCATTTGGCTTCCATCTTTAATTTTTGGAGCTAACTCTTTGAGAATCAAAGGTATGGTTTTCTAACGTTTTGTTTCTGGGTGATATTTTAGCTTTCCAATTCTTAGGTTTGAAACATGCAAGAGGGAAAAGAGACCCCGTTGTCTCCCTGTGTTTTGGTCTCATCTCAGTGGGGCCAGGCAGGTCACCTGTGCTATTAATCTTGTTTGGGAAAGATTGAACCACAGCTACCCAGCCCATCAAGAACATAGTCCATTGTTGCCTATTTTATCTCTACTTGAAAGTTCTATTTTAAAAGTTGTAGAACTTGCGTTTCCCTCTATATCCCTTTGCTTTGGCTCTGTTTGGCATTTAGCTTTAGTTTTTCAGATTAGGTCAGGGAGCCTGCTACTTGGGAAGAAAGTTTAAGTGTATACAGGCTACCTAGGCATCAGATAGTTATTTAATTAGTGGATGCTTTCTTAAAGGGAAAAATACGATTTCCTTTCTTTCCTCTGTCGCTTTGTGTCATACAAGCCTACATAGTTCCAGCCAGTTGCTCACTATGAAAGCTTGTAAATAAATATAAATAAATAAATAAATAAGCCTGACACATTGAAATTTCTGAAACAAAAATACAAGCTTCTCACATAAGAGAAGTTAATGAAGAGCTACTGAAATTTGGAGACAGGGACCAAGATGATACATAGTCTTGGTGTTTGGTAGCATTTTAAAAATCCCCAACTTCAGCTACCAAATCTTAACTTTTTCCTCCCAATCCAAGAACAGTTCAGTCTCTTCTCCACAAATCTAGGATACCAAAGAATGTCATGGCAAGGGGAATCAGAAACTGACCACCATTCTAGTGACTTCTCTTCTATATCCTTTGCTTTTCTTAAAGAGTTTCCCTGCATTGCAGAGAACGAGCTTGGGCCTTACCCCTCTTCACATTCTTCCTATTTGAGTATTTCTACCCAATTCAATACTTTATTAGCACAGATATTGTAGATTCTTTCTCACTCAGTGAGTTCTTACTGCTCCCACGTAAATGAGAACAAAATATGTTTTCTTTTACCCAGTTTTGATCTCATGATCCAAGTCTCACATTTGGCCTTAGCTTCAAATGTGTTTATTTTTGGTTTAAAAAATAAACGCCATTTAATTTCATATGCTGGCCTTTGGGGCTTTAATCCTTCCTTCCAGTCTGTTTGTTACCTCATGGTATTTAATGGTGACTGTCATGAAAGAAGGGAAAAGGTAGGAGAGAATTTGCCCCAGCTCTTTTTAAAGTTTTAAAATGGGAAAGAGACCACGGGGGACACAAGAGACCATGGGGGACACAAGTACCTCCCTGTGAAAGACCTAGCCCTGCTTTCTGCTTCTAGGTGGCCATTCCAGAACTCTAATCCTTTAGTAGAAATCCACCTGCTTGTCATAGGTCTTCAACCAGATTCAAAGACAATGGAGTCACATGCTTGCCTCTTGCTCTGTTATTTGCTTTTATAGGCATTACCTCCAGGAAAATCAGAGGGGAGAATTTTAGACCATTATGTTAGTCAATCCTTCTAAAATCCCTTTAGTTAATTCCCCTCAGGCTGAAAACCAGGAATACACACTCTAAAATTCACACTCTCTTCTGTTTTCAAAAAGAATGCCCAAACACTGATTCACATTCTTACTTTCTTTTCACCCTGAGATTTCCAAAGCATATTATATCCAGATTTTACCTTGTCTCAGACACACTAAGTCTCACTGTACTGAAAGATTTTCCAGGCATGGACAACAGGGTAAATGTTTGGTAGCTGCCCTGAAATCCTGGCAGGAATGAGGATCATGTGTCATCACTAAAGGGGTACTCACCCCTTCATAAGCCCCCAGTCCTTTCTGTTTGGAAGATTTCTTTGAATATTGATTGCATTTTCACACTGGCTCATTTCCCACCTTGATGTTTGGTCTGCAACGTTGCTTACACTGGATTCTTTCTATTTTTATTCCTATCATTAAATGGTAGTGCTGTAAATTCTGCAATTAATGTCAAATAAACTGCTTTAATTCATTGACCATGGCTCAATTACCTTCTTTCCTCTGTTTTTAAACATCTATTTATTTATTTATTTAGTTGGTTAGTATATGTGTGTGTGCATGTGCATGTGTGTGTGTGCGCGTGTGTGCGTGTGTGTGTGTGTGTGTGTGTGTGTGTGTGTGTGTGTGACTATGAAAATCAGAGGACAATTTGCAGGAGTTGGTTCTCTTTCAGCATATGAATTCTGGGAATTTCAACTCAGGTCATCAGGGTTGATGGCAAGCACCTTAACCTGAGGAGCCATATCGTGGGCCCTTCTTTCTCTTTTGATAGAAAGAAATAAGTACTCTTCCTCTTACTGAATCCCATTGTGATTTTGTAGAGACCAGCAAAGTTGTTCTACTTTGTAAGACTGCAGCTTCTATTCTTGGCAGGACAGAGTACATTTTATGATCAAGAAATCTTGTCATCCTTGTTATCAATCACAAAAAACTTAGGGATGACTCATCAATTGTCTTATCCTTTGCCCATTAAACTTTAGAGATAGTCCTATTCTAGACTTATCCTTGTGCAAATATGAGATCACATGTGGCAAGTCAAAAGGAAGATCATGCCACTGTCACCCTGTAAAAGAAAACACATAAACATATTTAGGACCAGGAGACTTCATATGGAACCGGGATTCTGCCAAAATTCAGTTGTGTGGCTCTAAGTAAGTCTTGTAAATGATCTGGGCATCAGCTTCTCCAAATGCAGAAAGATAAGGTTAAGATAAGATACCCAAGCCAGGTGTGGTAGCACATGCCTTTAATCCCAGCAGTCTTGAGGTGGAGGCCAGTGAATCTGTGAGATCGAAGCCAGCTTGATCTACATAACAAGTTCCAGGCCAGCTGGAGCTACACAGAGACCCTGTCTCAGAAAACAAAACCAAAACAACAAAAAGAATAAGACATCTGAAGTCCCTTCCATCTTCCACTGCCACAATATGTTGAATACTTTATATTTTTATACATCATATCTTGGCTTATTACTCTCTGAGTTAAAGAGTTCTTTACCTTTTTTTTTTGGTTTTTGTTGTTGTTGTTGTTTTTAAACAGAGTTTCATGTATCCCAGGATGGCCTTGAAGTCCCTGTGTAGCTGAGGATGATCTAGAACTTCTGATCCCCCTGCCTTCACGTCCCAAGTGCTGAGATCACAAGCATGCTCTGTTACACCTGGTTTATATGGTGCTAAGGATTGAACACATACTAGTCAAACACTGTACAAACTAAACTAAAACTCAGGCCCTCATTTTTAATTTAGATATCCCCAAGTTTCAAAAGTACCTCATTAGGTTAACCTTTGACCCAACCCACTGTAACAGACCCCATGGATTTCTAAGTCTGTTTGTCTAGACTAGTGGTTTTTAATTCAGACTGCACATGAGATCTACCCAGAGAACTTTGATAATATAATGCTATTAAATCTATCCTAGCCCAATTAAACTGATTTATAGGATGAGTCTCAAGCATTAAGGTATCAGTTAGCTTTTGCTGTGTAACAAATGTCCCTGAAACTCATTGGCTTAAAAGAAGAGCAATGTTCCAGGCATGGTGGTGCACGCCATTAGTCCCAGCACTCAGGAGACAGAGACAGGCAGATCTCTGTGAGTTCAAGGCCAGCCTTGTTTACATAGCGAGTTCCAGGCTGGGACTACAGGGAGACCCTGTCTCAAAAAGATCAAAAGAAGAAGAAGGTGGGGGAGGGGGGGAGAGGAGGGGGAGGAGGAGGAGGAACAATGTACTGTACTGTATTCCATAAATAGATACAAATATTACTTGTCAATTAAAAATATAACAAATTAAAAATAAAATATTTTTAAAACAGAAAAACAAGCAACCATGTTTATAGTTCATGATTCTAGTGGTTGCCAACTTGAGTTGGTTCCAGCTGGTTAGCCCTTTGATCTTGGCTGGGCTCACTCACATATCTGCCGTTGGTGTGCTGGTTGGCTGGGGGCTGCTGAGCTAGGATGGCCTTATTTGGACAACCTGGTTCCATTCTTTTTCATCTCCTCACAGGCTGGGATACCCAGCACACAGTATTAAAGGAAAGCACCCAAAGCTCCTTGAGCCCCAAATGTGAAACTGATAAAAATCCTTTCTACTGCATCCTATTGACAGAAGGAAATCAAAGTCTGGCCCAGTTTCATAAGAGAGAAGTAGAAAGAGACTCCACATCTTAGTGGAAAAAGCTGCAAAATTTACTTTCCAAGGGAAGAGTTAAAGATTGTGACCCTATTTTACATCTACATATTTTTTAAAGCTCTCCCAGAGATTCTCAGGCTTACCTAAACTTTTAAAACATAACGAAACCTGTTATTTCTACATTTTTTGTATATCACTCCAACCCTTATTTGTCAATTCTCTCAAATGCCTTCATTATAGAACACAGACCCATTTTATGAAAAAAGCAATTTATAGCTTTCAGATTTACAAAGCAGGCGTCACCTATAAGCTGAGCTGACGCAAGCTGAAAAAAAGTTTCCTACAAACTGGAGTGAATTGGACACTTGAGACAGGGAGAAACTACTTAGCACTTGTGTAAACACTCTAAACTTATGTCAAAACTAAGCTAGATGACACCAAAACCTCTGCCACATCTGCTACCCTCAACTCCATGACCCATCACTGTTGAGCAGAATGTGAAACTATGATGATAGATTCTACACATCAAGACTTAGGATCCCTGGTCTCTGGTAAGGTGACTTTGAGTCACAGATTAAGCTCATTGTATGGAAATACTTGCTGGATTTGAGAGTTTATTGGCGTGAGGCCATTTGTCTAGCTTTTGGTTAAAGTCATTGGATAGTACAGAGTATCCTTTGGTCAAAATATCTAGTTGTTAGCAACAGCCATTGCAAATATCTTATTTTTATCACTCCTTGGAGTCCTCCTTACTGAAGGAATTCATTTAGACTCATCAAGCACAAGGAAATGATGCTCACAACAGTTCACTGAGCATAAGATATTTTTGGAGTTAAGAATGATGGTGTCTGGCCTAGTGATATGGCTCGGTGGTAGAGTACTTGCCTAGCTTGACAAAGGTCCTGGGTTTGATCCCCAGCACCACAAAAACAAAATGAAATAATAAAGCTGGTGGCAATCAACCGCACTATGCAGTCACTCCAGAATCTTCCTCCTTTGTTCTACACAATAGCATGTGGCACATGCATCAAAGAAGATACAGTTATGCCCTCAACACAAGTATAAAAGTTGGAGTGCCACAACATAAGGACCAAGCAGTAAAAGTGGGATTCAGACCCAGATGTTAGAGTCATCCCACACGACCTTGGAGACCTGGAGATGAATGGGACATGCTTCCTCTGGTTGGAGCAATAGAGTCTATACAGAAAGTGAGTCTTGTGTTAGAACTATGCAGAAACATAGAACTATAAGAACTAGAACAGAACTAGAAGACAGAAACAGAAGAACACATTTGTGTCTTTCCACCATGTCAGAATTTATTGAATGACAATAAATTCACTATGTACAGCTGTTTTATTGACAGCAATTTACCAGATAGTCCCATTTTCCTTGATAGCCCTGGCAAAGGCAAACACACATTCACTTATTCCAATCTTAATTACCAATATTAACTCTCAGATCACACATTATACATTATACAACAAATATTATACATACACATATATGTAGGTGGCAGAATAGCTACAAAAGTGGTTAGAGAGGCAAGAAATTTCAAAGAGGCCTGACGAGGCCAAACACAGAGGAGCATAGGAGTCTCTGTGAGGTGAGATAACTAGTCAGCCGAAGAGCTGCTGCTGATGCTGTGAGTTGGGCTGCACCAGGTCACAGGTTTGAGTGGAGCTGCAGGGTTAAGTCCAGCTGCCAAGGTGAAAGGGCAGGACCAGGTCCAGAGGAACGAACAGGCAGATGGATAGACAAGAGGATGGGCTGAACAGGCTATGTCAACAGCAGGGAGCAAGCTGAGCCAAAGCCTCTGGGACACATGGGAGTTCTCTGCTTATCAATCCTTGATGCAAGTCCCGGGTGGTGTGCCCAATAAGTTTTTGGTCCTGGTTTTCCCGATAGGATTTTAATACATCCAAGTACCCCTATAGTCCCAATTCACCCCAGTAAATTTATAAGCTGGCACCGTTTCTATTCCTAGGAATAAGTCTGTGTAGCATGGGTGGTGCTAGATAGATTCACATGTCTACTCAGATGCAACACATCCTGGATCCTCAAATGGAGTTAAAAGTTGCTTATTAAATGGAGTCTCTCAGGGCATGGTATAGTCCAAAAAACCACTGTTTTACACAATATGGAGTCACTTAGGGAAGGGCACAGCCTTATCTCAACACATAGTCCCCATAAAACTGCCAGATCTTAAAGAAAGTCCAAGAACAAATACTACCACATCGGGATATTTATTTGCCTCCCCTTCCCCTGCTTCCAGCAAGCTGTGTATACCATTTGCTGGGTAAGTTCCATGCTATCTGAGCCCCTACTACTGAGCCCTCTACCTACACTCCAGATATATCTAACAACCAGACAGGGCTCTCACAAGCTCTTGGGCAACATCAGGCAGCAGATAACTTCCTAAATGGAGGACTAACTGTGGGAATTTTCAAGGACCGACCTCTTGCGCATTCCCACTGGAGCAAGCTAAAGGTTTCACTGGAATCTTAAACCCTGCACCTGCAAGGGATCAGGGGAGCTTCTCCAATCTACCCACCTTGTGTTTAACTAGTTGCCAAAGTACATGGTAATATTTCTCATGACAATTAACAGGTGACTATTTTCACATTCAACCACCTTTCTGGCATTCAGTATGCTAATTAACAGAGCCACTGTGTGGCTGAGATGTGGATGACTATGAAACCCAATCAGCAACTGCCTTGAAAGATGCTTTCTGACTCCTCACAGGGTTTGTGTTCTTGAATTAGGACATTTTAGTCCTAATTAAGAAATTAAAGCCCCCAGGTCAAAGCTTGAACCAACTGACACCCAAGTGATACCAGTCTCCCTGGACTG